CCCCCGCGCCCGGCAGCCCCTCCGAATTGGCCTCGTCCGAAGGTCACCCCGCGCCGGGCTCGCTGCGCCGAAGTCCCCACCCGGGCGGTGCCCGCGACCTGGGGAAACCCGCTGCCGCCGCAGTCCCCGCGCCTCACTCCGCCCCTCTCCCCTCCTTCCTTTTCTTTCCACTCCTTGCCTGTACTAGAGCAGTTGCTTTTAAGCATCTCTACCATGATTTTTTTTTCTTTTTCTTTCCTTTTTCCTTTTCTTTTTCTCTTTTGCTGGTTAAGGGATTTTTTTTTTCCTGGTTGAAGTCATTAGACACTCCGCACTGAGCTGAATTGCTGGCCTTGGGCGCTTGTTAGGTTTAGCCCATATTCAGGTAATCCAGACTCCAAAACAAGGAAGAGAATGTAGACATTTTGGGTGAGGGGGTGTTTCCAACGTGGTTCTTTCCTGAAAGATTTCCAGAAGTGGAAGATGTGATTTGCATGCTTTAGCCTAGATATATGTGTGTAAGTAGGCGGAGGTGACGGCGCACAGAGGTGGCAGTGTTGTTTCAGGGTTTAGGGAGAATTAGGGAGTTAACTGGCTTTTGCTGGGAAACTTGAATGTCCAGATTTGTGAGAGCTCATCCAAGTGTCGTTGTGGTAGGGTGAGAACTCCAGTACCACGCCCTACGTGTCCAACCGAAAAGCACCTAATTTTAAAAGTGTGTTAGGCCTGCATGGGGAAGAAGCTTTATTATAAAAAGTTAATTATTTTCCTGGAAGTATATTACAACTTTAATCATGTTCCCAAAATTGTATAACCAATTCCATTGGTAAACTCTCACGGTAGAAGTCATTCCTTTTAGCTTATGCTTATCGGTGTATTTAAGTGTATCTTATTCGCTTATGTTTTTTTTGTTGTTGTTGTTAATACATTATTATAAAAATTATTGTATTAAAATAAGACACCATTATTATAAAATATTATCTTAAAATGTTTTTAGACCTTGAACTTATTCAGGGAGGAGCCATGTCTTACTCATCACTGTTTCCATGCAGTGCACCTTTAACATTGAAGTTATTCACACATTTCTTCACTGAATGAATGCATGTGTAGGTGATCTCACAGTCGTCTTCCAGAAGTCACTTATTTTGTTAGGCTAGGATGGATGTGTGTCAAACATTCTTTGCCTTCCAAAATTCTATCCTCCTCTGAAAGGTTAAAATTATATTTTTGGACTGTAATCAGACATTGTAATAACTTGTATTCCGAGCTAAATGTTTACTGTTTGAGCATATCAAGGTTAGCAGAAAGAGACTTTTCTGATGCTAGACAGTATATTTATGTTTGGAGCTGATAACCGTACCCTATCTTACTAAAAAAGAAAAAACTCAGAATTACCACTGTTTGGAAAACTTAGTGCATCCCAGAATTGTGTATAGTGGCCCATTCTTCCCATGGATGCATGAAATTCTCTGACACCCTGATGTGACTTTGGCTTGATTTATCACTACCCACTTTATCACATTTCTTTTCCAAGATCCAGATTCTGTTTTCTGTTGTGTCTGCTGAATGTGCAGTCATCTGTACCATTTATTTTGAAGTAGTACTTCGTTACACTTTTCTTCACAGGGCTTTCAGAAAAAAAGAAGGGGCTAATTATAGGAAAGAATCTTGTCTACCATTTGTGAGGGAATATTTTTGTCTATAGATGGTTGGATTGTTTCCACTTTAGAGGTTCGAATAAGAAAAAAATCCTAATGTTTTCTTTCCTCTTCAAGTATCTGGTGGTGGTCCTATTTTTCAAAGCTCAGCTTCTAAACATAAATGTACCAGCATCAATTTTTGTATATGTGCATTTCATTGTAATATGCACTTGTATTCTTTAGTAGATGAGGAGCAAAGATAATTATTTTTAAAATACTGGAATGAATCACCTTAATGACCTTCCCCCATCAAAGGGAAGAATTAAAAGCATTCATCCTCAAGCAGCTAGTCACCATTGCTCGGCCATTGCCAGGCCATTATGGCCATTGCCTTGCAAAGCTATGGTATGGCCATGTGCTCTTTGAGCTATGGCTAGACTGTGTTTTCTTAAGCTTTGGCCCCCTCCCTTCCCTTGGGTAGGTGAATCTCCTCTTTCTTTCTCTCCAATTTACTTTCTAAATAAACTGTATTTTCTAATCTAAAAAAAAAAACCAAAAAACTGGAATGAGAGGCTATGAATGTTAATGAGGAAAAAGATTATGATTTTGAAGAAGTAGGGGGACAGTTTATGATTTTCATTGTTTTATAAAATGTTTTAACTCTTAGATACTAAGGAGAGGGAAGCCTGCAATTTCTTGTCTCAGTGACATTACCACTATAGAGGTTAGATTTCCCTTTTTTAATTCAGCAACCCTCTTGGTAATTACAGTTCTCACGTGTTAATGGCCTACCAAGCACTGTGATAAGAGCTTTATTTACATTATTTCTAATCTTCACAATACCTCTTCAAGAGTAGTAGTTTTCCTAAACTTTTTTATGGCTAAGTGAAGTTATTTGCGAGAGGCTAGACATCTGACTTTGTGTTTAGTAGAGCTTAACTTGAATGCAGTGATTTTGAGAGCATTCATTTTTGTAGTTAATCCTAAACAGCTAGGGAGAAGGCAATTCTGATTGAGCCATGAACCAGACCTTCAGGTAAACAAAGATACTGATCCCCTCAACACTCTTGGCCATCAGGTGTGGTCTGGACTTGTTGGTGACCCTGGCTAAGTGGCCTCTAGTAGCAACCACTCTTCTCTTTATCTCCAGTGTGCCTATAAATTCAGTGTTAATCACCTTCTATATGTGCTGCCATGGACAAATGGTTGGGCATTGTTTTTACCAGGGGGGACCCAAACAACCTGGAATTTATTTATAAAAAATTGTGTATTCTTTTTTTTTTTTGAGTTGGAGTCTCACTCATTGTCCAGGCTGGAGTGCAGTGGAACATTCACGGCCACCCCAGCGTCGACCTGCAGGGCTCGGGCAATCCTTCCTCCTCAGCCTTCCCAGTAACCAGAACTACAGGTGTGCACTACCACGCCTGGCTAATTTTTTATTTATTGTGGAGATGAGGTCTCGCCAAGTTGCCCAGGCTGTTCTCAAACTCATGGGCTCAGGCAATCCCCTCACCTCGGTCTCCCAAAGTGCTGGGATTACAGGCTTGAGCCACTGCTCCCAGCCTGTGTATTTATTCTTACATGTTTAAACTTCAGTCACCTTCAAAGTACTCTCCCTTTGATGCAATACACCTATTGAGGCTTTTTTCTACTGCTCAAAACATTCTTCAACAATTTTGATGCCTTTTAGTGCTTCTGCCTTTTTTTGGTTTCACCTCTTCCACGTTGGCAAAGTGTTTCCCCTTCAGGACTTTTTTCATCTGGGAAACAAATTTTAAAAAGTAATTTGGGCCAGATCCAGTGGATAGGGAGGGTCGGGCACAGGGAGTCATGCCATTTTTGGTCAAAAACTGCTGGACACTCAGTGTGGTGTGGGCAGGTATGTTGTCATGGTGAAAGAATCAGTTGCCTGTCTGGGGGACAGTAGAAAGGGTGGTAAAAGAAACAGAGGTGTACTGGGTCTCTTCTTAACCATTTGAGACCATAAATCGTTTTCTCTTTGGGTTTACTATGGAGGCTTAAAGGTGGAAGTACTCCTCTAAGAGTCTAATTGCTATTCAGTGCTAGTAAAATCCTCTTTCCAAGCCAGTGTACTTTTTAAAATACACTTTTAAATAGGCTTGATTTGAAGGATGTGTTCATCTCCTGGATTTCTAAAAAAAGAATATACAGTAGCTTTATGGAAAAAAAACAACTCATTTTCTGGTTCCCATAAGTAACATTTATTCTTTTTTTTTTTTTTAACTCTAAGACACTTTTCTTATTGCATTTGCCTTGTTGCATTCATAAGGATTTGGTTACCACATAGAAAAGAAGGAAATTAAAGCTCTATGAATTTTTAAAAGACTTGTGAGTAAACTTTGGAAGAGAAGTTGCTTCTTTGATCTAATTATATGTGAAAGTGAAGACTTACTTCCTCAAAGTCAAGAGGGTAATTTGTACAAACCAAAAAAAGGCAAGCTTCTGTGAAATATATGATATTCTTAAAGACCTTCACAGCTAGAGTCCTATATTAGACATAATAGACATAACATTTGACACACAGTCTCCTTAATATCTGGGATCCAAGCTGGGCTCGGTGGCTCAGCCTGTAATCCCTCGCCTTTGGGAGGCTGAGGTGAGTGGACTGCCCGAGTTCGCGGGTTCGAGACCCGCCTGGGCAGCGAGACCTCATCTCTACAATAAATCAAAAAATTAGCCA